GAGCGGTTCTGCTCTTACTTCTTCTTTAGATTGTGCTTCTGTCTAGGAAGAAAAGTGTTCTGCTGCCAAAAGCATATTTGGGACAGTTCTAAGGCACCTCCCATGTGTACTACTGTATTAGTATATTCTTACGCTGGTATAAAGAACTGCCTGAGACTGGGAAATTTATAGAGAAAAGAGGTTTAATTGATTCACAGTTCTGCATGGCAGGGGGAGGCCTCAGGAAACTTAGAATCATGGGAGAAGGGGAAATAGGCACGTCTTATGTGGCAGAGGGTGAGAGAGAGCGTGTTAAGGAGGAACTGTCAAACACTTACAAAACCATCAGATCACATGAGAACTGTGTGCACTTTTAACTGAGTCTATTTTTCAAAGGCAAAAAATTGGTGAATAGTGAAAGAACAACTTCTCTGTAAGTGGAAATTCCTACTGTTTGAGACTTTTAAATCATTTCTTTGAAACAGGGTTGTATAGAACCCAGGATCATGGTATGATAGTGGACTTCTACGGGTGATGGATTTACTGAGGAGGAGCTCCGTCCTATTTTAATTCAAAGGTTGAGCAGCATCCTATGATAAGTTTAAACACCAAAAATAATCCCGAAAGGTGTTGCAGATCATGAGAACAGCATGGGGGAAACTGCCTTCATGATTCAATCACTTCCCACTGGGTCCCTCCCTTGACACATGGAATTATGGGGATTATAATTTGAGAAGAGATTTGGGTGGGGACACAGAGCCAAATCATATCAACTATGTTATGGTTTTCATGTACTTTCACTCATTTAACTTTGACAGCTACCTAATAAGTCTACAAGTTTTAGACACAATGGAGACTCAGAAAGCTTATGTGGCCTCCACAAAGCCCCAGATAATGAGTGGCAAGGCTGGGTGTTGTGGACTGGATGTTTATGTCCCCCCCATATTCCTGTGTTGAAGCCCCAGCCCTCATTGTGACTATACTACGAGGTGGGCCTTTGGGAGGTAACTGGGTTTAGTTGAGGTCAATAAAGTGGAGCCTTCATGCCTTTATAAGAGACACCCCAGAGCTTGCTTCTTTTCTTTCTTTCCACCTTGAAGAAGGTGGCAATCTGCAAACCAGAGAGAGAGCCCTCACTGGGACCTGGATGTACTGTCACCCCAATCAAAATCACTAACTTCCAGTCCTTAGATTCCTGTTATTTAAGCTGCCTGGTCTATGAATACCATACAGCATTGTATGGCAGCCTGAACTGATGAAGACACAGGGTTTCAACCTATGTCAATCTGAAATCAGCACCCATGTTCATTCTAGTGTACCATGACACCTCTCCAAAATGGCTTATGACTCCATTATGTGGTTCTGTTAAAATAGCACACAACAATGGTAAAGCAACTTACACCGAAGCACATGAAAATTTCCCTGCAAAATCTGCAACACCTTTCGGGATTATTTTTGGTGTTTAAACTTATCATAGGGTGCTGCTCAACCTTTGAATTAAAATAGGACGGAGCTCCTCCTCAGTAAATCCATCACCCCTAGAAGTCCACTATCATACCATGATCCTGGGTTCTATACAACCCTGTTTCAAAGAAATGATTTAAAAGTCCCAAACAGTAGGAATTTCCACTTACAGAGAAGTTGTTCTTTCACTATTCACCAATTTTTTGCCTTTGAAAAATAGACTCAGTTAAAAGTGCACACAGCGCTTGTTCTGGGTTGATCACACACTTGTCAAACCATCTAAAGGCTAAGCCATATTAAGAGCTTCTCAGGGAACACGCTAGATCCAAAACAGCTATAAAAAAAGAAAAGTGCTTCTTACTTTTTCCCTTGTAAGTGAAAGGGGACTGAGCACCGAGTTCAGTCCCCAGCTTCCTCCAAGACTAATCTTGGTTTGTGATTCTTGCTTCCAGGTGGCCTGTCCTTGGGCACTAACTCAGGGTAGTCCAACCACAGGGGTCTTTGGCCCTTGACAGTGACTGCCTCCTCATCTTAGTTTCAGTGCTGGCCAACACACTACCCAACCCCAACCCCATCAACCTTTCTCTGCTCTCTGACTCCTTGTTTGAAAGACCAATTGCAGTCTCTGAACCAACTCCTGCCACTGAAGAATCCAGACATGTAAAGATCCAGAATCTTGGAAGCTCTCCACCTGCCTCATCACAGGTAAACCAGGTATTGCTAACTTGCCTTTGAACAAACATGGTAATTTTTCTTAAAGCCTAGGAGTACCAGACCTTTGAAAATTATTTTTTAAGTTACTTAAAAATTGATCATTTAATGCAACCCCATGCCATGTTGGTTTAATGTTTTTTCTTATGTAAAATTTAAAAATGTAAATATTAGTGAAGTATACAAACCGATTTGTATCCTAATTTTTCATGAAATACGACAACATGTTGTTTTCCAAGTTACTAAGGAAATGCCATACTATATTTTAAAATTACCGCACAGCTAGTGAAATGAGGATGCAATTTGGTATTGAGGGAAGACTAAAGGCTTCAGAGTCAGACTTATCTTCAAATAGCTACAGTCACTTAGCAGTGGATATGAATTACTTGCCCTCTCTGTGGCCAGGATTCTAAAGTGAAGTGGTATCATCTAAGTTTTATTAATGTGAGAATTAAATGAGAAATTAACTTGGCGCTTCATAGTTGCTGTTTTCATTGCTGTTTCATGATTAAAAAGCAGATGTATGATACTGAGCTCCTCTCCAGTTCCTGGGCATACTGTACCTCTTCTCTTTACATTTGTGTTTAGGGGGTCTCATGTTTCTCCATGAAAGTTTGCTGCAGGTTTAAAGAACAAATGTGGCCAGGCACGATGGCTGACGCCTGTAATCACAGCACTTTGGGAGGCTAAGGCAGGTGGATCACAAAGTCAGGAGATCGAGACCATCTCAGCGAACACGGTGAAACCCTGCCTCGACTAAAAGTACAAAAATTAGGTGGGTGTGGTGGCATGTGCCTGTAATCCTAGCCACTCGGGAGGCTGAGGCAGGAGAATCGCTTGAACCTGGGAGGCAGAGGTTGCAGTGAGCCCAGGTCAAGCCACTACACTTCAGCCTGGATGACAGAGCGAGACCCCATCTCTAAATAAATAAATAAATAAATAAAAAAGATTGAATACACTTCTGTTTGAGGCCTTGGCCACTGCATCTTTGAGTAGCTTGTGCTATTGTTAAATAGGTAATTATGAGAGCAAAGGTAGCTTTTGAAACCTGAGGACCAGTTGGCCTCCTAAAATATTTCAGGAGAACATGATGTTGAATCCAATGCCTCTGGACTCCAATGTGTGGCAAGAGAGCAAAAGACACCAGTTAGGTTTGCCTAAAATCAGTCCAGCAGAAGATACTTATAGAATGCCTTCTATGGGCCAGACTTTGCTCTAAATAGGGAAAAAGATGAGGTCCCTGATCTCGATAGATAGAGAGGAGACAGACAATAAATACAATGCATGCAGGCTCAGCATTCAGTAAGTGATGAAAGTGGAAAAGAATGGGGGTGGGTGTTTTATTTTATTTTCTGAGTGCAGCAGTGCAGAACACAGAGTCTTGATCTGTGGCCCAGGCTGGAGTGCAATGGCATGATCTCGGCTCACTGCAACCTCCACCTCCTGGATTCAAGTGATTCTCCTGCTTCAGCCTCCTGAGTAGCTGGGATTACAGGTGCCTGCCACCACGGCTGGCTAATTTTTGTATTTTTTAGTAAAGACTGGGTTTCACCATGTTGGCGAGGCTAGTTTTAAACTCTTGACCTCATGTGATCTGCCACCCTTGGCCTCCTAAACTGCTGGGATTACATGCATGAGCCACCATGCCTGGCTCTGGGGTGGGTATTTTATAAAGGTGATCAGGGTATCCTCTTTCAGGAAATACCATAGAGCAGAGCCTGAGGGAAATGAGAGCCATCTATATGGACATTTAACACCGAAGGGTGATCAACCCTCCTGTTTGCCCAGACTGAGTGATTTCCTAGAAAGCAGGGCTTTCAGTGCTAAAATCAAGACAGTTTCAGGCAAACTGGAATGCTTGGTCACCCCAGTAAGAGTGTTCCAGGTCGAGGTAATAGCAAGCCTGAGGCCAGTAAGAAGGAAAGGATGTGGTGTGTTTTGGAGGTGTCCGGAAAGTCAATGTGATGGGTAAAGCAGAAGAGAGAAGAGAGATGAGTACAGAAAGCAGGGCTGAGCTGAGTCACGCAGGGCTGTTGGTCAGGGTAAGGGCAGATGGATGAATGATCCCCACGAACCACTACCAAGTATTCAGGTGCAGGGAGATGATGAAGGCAGGGAGCCATGGAGGCTACTGGAAAAGCAGGGCTCTCCACCGCAGAAAGTGAGGCTCATGAGCTCTCCCGATGTGGTGGCTGATGGGAAACTGCATCCTAGACCGTCCTACAGAGCTGGCAGTATTAACACTCTTCCTCATCCACGGCCATTGTTGGGAGAATGCAGTTAGTGGATTTTTCTAGTAGGAGCAACAAAACAGTTTTTCTCGAGGTGCATAGGCCTGAGCATTTAATGCGAGTGCTGTTGGCAAACACCCCTGGGTATGTGTCTAGGTTCCCCTTGGGTCCCTGACTGTAACAGTGTTTCTCTGAGGGCCCCTCACACCTGCATAGCCCCATGCTCACCAACGATAGAGCTGAAAGGATGTGGCCAGCTGCAGACTTTTTTCTTCCAGATGAAGAAATTGAGACCAAAGGAAGAGGAAGTGATTTTGACCAGGGATACTCTGGGAGTCAGAGGGAGATCTGGGAAGGGAATAGGCTGAGACATTCATCTTGACAAGGAGCCAGGGGGGCTGCACCTGAGCTGGATGGGCCAATGGGCAGGTGCTGCTCCCTCCCACTGGTTTCTCTTGGGTGGTGTGAAGAGGAACTTGGTCTTGAGGACATGGGGAAAGCCTGTCTGATTTTGCGTCTCTTAAGACCACAGCATGAACACAGCAGGAATGTGCTGGAGGGACCCGCTATTGAAGGGGTGCACAACCAAATATACAGAATGCATTTGGAGAAGAGTGAGACCAGAGGGTGAGGAAAATTGAAAGCATCCTGCCTGAACTATGACTGGAGGAACCAACAGTTTAAAGGTCAGAAAAGGAGCTGGGGTCAGCAGTGCAGAACATGAGGGCTGAGTCCAAGTATTTGAAGGGCTGACGTGCACAAACAATGTACTTTGCTTGATTTTTATTTTCTCTGTCATTTATTTGGTCATACTTTTGCCACAGTCCTACTTCTCCTGTTTTATTCCAAATATATAGCACTGTAACTTCCTCAGATAGGATTAGCTGCCCACTTATGGGCCTGGGGCCTGAACCACAGTTTAGATGAACGAGTTTCTATCCTAGCTGTACATTTTAGGGGTCTTTGTCATTGCTCATACCCTATCCCAGAAATTTTGATTTAATTGGTTTGGGGTGGAGCCTGTGATAGTTTAGACCATTGAGCAGAGTATTTTTTTTTCCATCCTTTTGATTTTGGGCTTGGCCACATAAACATGCTTCAGCCAATAGGATATCACTAAGCATGACATGAGCAGAAACCTGAAATGTGCTATTTGTCTTGTCTCTTGCAGTCCAGCAATCCACCACGAGAAGAATGTATTCTTACTGGCCACTGGTCCAAAAAGAGTGAAATATATGTGAAGTTGACTTGAATCTGACCTACAGTCTGGAGCAGTCACCCAGGTGAGTCAGGCTAGAACAGTTGAGCTATAGCCATCCACAGACCTATGAGTGAGAAATAGATGTTTGTTGTTTTGAGCCACTGGGTTTTGAGATACTTGTTACACAGCATTGTTATAGCAATGTCTAACTGATACAAGACCTCAGCCCTAAGAGATTCTAATTCAGTTGGTTTGGGTTAAGCTTCAGTGCTATGGCCTGAATGTTTGTGTCTCCCCAAAATTCATATGTTGAAACCTAATTACTAATGTGATGGTGTCAGGAGGTAGGACAATTAGGAATTGATTAGGTCATGAGGGTGGAGCCCTCATGAATGGGGTTAATGTCCTTATAAAAGATGCCTCAGAGAGCCACCTTCTACCAGGTGAAGAGACAGCAAGAAGGTGGCATCAATGAACCAGGAAATGGGCCCTCAGCAGACACTGAGTCAGCTGGTGCCTTGATCTTGGACTTCCCAGCCTCCAGAACTGTGAGAATTAAATCTCTTTTGTTTGTAAGCTCCCCAGCACTTGGCACTTGCTTATAGCTGTGCAAATGGACTAAGACACCCACACATCAGTATTTCTTAAAAATGCTCTCCAAATAATTCTAATGTGCAGCCAGGGTTGATAACTGCCAATTTGAAAATTGCTTTTCCATCCAGGGACTCAAGCCAGGCTTCCAAATGATGAGATCACTAAGAACCAGTATTTCTAAAAATTTGGCTTTGGAGCCACCCCTATAAGAATGCCTGGGCTTGTAGGGCATCCTGCTTGTTAAAAATACAGATTCCTGGGCTCCTCCCAAGACCTACTGAATCAGATTCTCTGGAGTGGGCCAAGCAGCAAGCATGCTAACACACTCCCTCTTGGGTACTTTCCAGGCTTACTACAGTTTGAGAAAGGCTGATGTAGAGATTATGCCACATTTCCCACCACCCTGCGATGAGAGAGTTGATGATAATTGAAACGTTCCTATTAAAATTTCAAGCCATTTCTGCTGGCCTCTATGAACATCTGACTTGAGTCTTTTGGTGTTTATAGTGAAGAACTGGGGGAGGAGAAACACATCCTGATCTGATTTTGAGGTAATGAAGGAGGTTGGACTGAATGATCTCTTTCAACCCTAACGCTATGGTTTCAGATCATTGTATTCCTTGCGATAATCAGCATAGTGCTGGTATGGAGTGATTCAACTCTTAGCTCCTGACGGAAGAAGGGTGTAAAATGGCGTCGAGCAGGAAGTCACAGACCCCTGTGGTCCCTGCCTCAGGCACTCTGCCACCTGTCCCAATCCCTCTGGTCTTGAGGCTAAGCTGTGGGCTCACCAGGGCATGGGCCTTGCAGCAGGCACTCTAGTCTTTGCGGCTCTTGCCTGATTTGCTTTTCCTTTACCCTTTGCTCCATTTTTGCCCCACTTTGGACTCTTGGCTCTGAGTCTGGACTTTAATCCCATCGCTCATCCTTCGACCTGGAGCTTGACACTTGCTCTCCCCTTAATGTGAATCTCAGTTTTTTCTTATGGACTCTGATTTGATGTCACACTTCTAGCCCAGTAGCTTCAGTGTCCCCTGGGGAACTGGAAACAAGTCTGATTCTGCCTGCCTCCCAGACAATTCAGACTCAGACTCTCAGAGATTCTGATAAATTGTCTGGGAGGCAGCTGGAATCTCTGGGGGTGGGACGGAGGTGTCTGAATTTGCAAATGCTCCCCAAGGGATTCAAAAGGGCAGCCAGGGTTGAGAAGCATTCCCTGGAAGAAGCCAGACCTCCCTGCCGCCCTCATCATCCTCATCCCCAAAGCCTGGGTTAGACCTCTATCTCCAGGGTGCTGCTTCCCTCAAAAGGATTTCGAGGTAGTGACTACATTTTCATGCAATAGAAGAGCTTTTTTCACGTCAATACCAAACTGGTAGTTACTCCCCCACCCTCAAGGAGTAGGGTTTGAAATATACCACCCATCATCAAGATGCAGGCTGAGAATGGAGGCAGCTGGCCAAAGCAAACAGAGCGCTCACGTGAGAGAGACACAGACAGAAAGCTGCGAGGCCATGCAAAGTAGGGAGGAGAAGCCATTCCCGGTAATGAGTCACCGGCGGCGGGCACTTTGCAGAGCAATACAGTTGATAAATACTCTGTACTTAAAGTGAACTTTGAACAAATGCATAAGCAGGGATTGAGAGTTTTCTGCAAAGAGAAGTGAGCGAGCAAGGGCTTGGTACAAAGAAGCTGTATCCCAGCATAGACTGAAGTGTAACAGGAGTGCGGCTGGAGACAATGGAAGTAAGCTGGCAGAAGCTAGGCAGGAAAATAAATTTCCAAATCCAGATGCATCAGATGGCAGGCAAGCTTCCAGGGATAGTAACTAAGGCGGGGTCACACTCGTTCTGTAATGATAAGAAATTGGAAATTCATATCAGAATCTCCCTGTGCATTATTTATAGTTTGCTGAATGCACAACAGCCTAAACTGACTGTATAATAAGTAGTTTATCATTTTTATTCCAGAGGGTGAACTTATCATTTCCCATTAATTATTTTGCTGTCTCTCTGAAGGCCAGAGCTAAGGAATCCCGTCAGTTTCTTTAACAGAAACATATCTGTACTGAGAGGTTGGGTGTTCAGTGTGGGGCACAGCAGGTAAGTAGCTTCCTTTAGGGAATGGAATGGGGACTCATCATTCTAATATCTCTCCAGGATTGCAACAATGTTAGCACCATCAGCCCCTAAAGTAGATGAACACTGACTGTGAGCAAGGAAGAATAGTGAAACCCCAGGAACAATGTGACTGGGACATTCTTCAACGAGACAGGAACAGAAAGATCTGAAAAGAGTAACAGCCATCAAACCGGAAGGTTGAGGAAGTCAAGCAGAACATTTCAGAGCAGCCATGCCTGCTTGTCAAAAAGATGACAAACCAGATACACCCTTTCCTCCTGCAGCACCAACTGATCCTAACAAGGCACCCCAAACCCACTGGCCTATCAGTTCCAATGACGACGTTTGGGTGAGAATGTGATCCAACTCTTCATCTCCCAAGACCAGATACTGATTTAGGTTTCTGACAGGAATAAATAGAATTTTCTTTTCTCGATGATTTAAACAGACATTCTTTTTAAACATTTTCTTTTTATTTATTAATTATTATACTTTAAGTTTTAGGATACATGTGCAGAACGTGCAGGTTTGTTACACAGGTATACACGTGCCATGGTGGTTTGCTGTATCCATCATCTCATCATCTACATTAGGTATTTCTCCTAATACTATCCCTTCCCCATCCCCCCAACCCCAGCTATTCCTCCCCCAGCTCCCCACCACTTGACAGACCCCTATCCAGAATCTACAAATAACTTAAATTTACAAGAAAAAAACAACCCCATCGAAAAGTGGGTGAAGGATATGAATAGACACTTTTCAAAAGAAGACATTTATGCATCCAACAAACAGGAAAAAAAAGCTCATATCACTGGTCGTTAGAGAAATGCAAATCAAAACCACATTGAGATACTATCTCACGCCGGTTAGAATGGCGATCATTAAGAAGTCAGGAGACAACATCCTGGAGAGGAGGTGGAGACATGCACAGACTTTTTTTAGAAGGAAACATCAGGGCTGAAAGTGCAGTCCTGTGAATGGACTTCCTCTTTCGGCCTTCCTTTCTTTCCTGGCTGGCTAGGGAAGCCCTTCTCAGCTCCTCCACCTTCAGGAATTCCCTTTGACAGACGTTGTGGCAACTCAGCAAAGGAGGGGGTTAACTCACATTACCACTGAAAACAGCGGAAAAGTGAATGATTACTTGGGAGCTGAGCTGAAACTGAGCCCTGCCCTGACGATACACTCCTGACGGCAATGTGTAGTTATATGAAAGGCCTCCTTGGATTTCCACAGAAAAGGGCAGATTAAAGGCAAACAAAGGGATAAAAAGCACAGACCTTAAATAGCTGGAGAGAAGCCGGGTAGCAGGAACAGCCCTTGCAAGGTTATGTCTCTTGGGGCCTCTGGGCCAAATCCCATTTCACACTGGATTTAATGGAGAGTTCTTCTGCAAGTCAAAATCTGTCCTCTGCCTTTGAACATCTTCCTTTAAAATGATGTTAATCAACTTGAATTCCTCTTCAGGATCACCAGCCCTGCCAATGCCCCTGTAAAGCTGGTGTCCATCCAGGGCCTACTTCCTGAATTCTCTTATTTGGAGTTCCAGTTTCATCACTGATTTTTTTATTCCTTATAGGAGAAGAAAGGAATATTTAGATATTTAATTGACATATAATGAGATAACTATAACAAGTTAATTAGTTCTCAATTAAGTTGCATTTACCATACTTCCTGAATGTGTTTTCAGCAATTGGGGGCATCTAATGAACTTGCAGTAGCTGTCTGGCTTCCTACTGTAAGCAGGAAGATGAGGCCATCTCTCCCTGAGTCTGAGGCCACATGGCATTGTTTTCTTGAAAGCCAGCATCGTGGTATACATCCAACCTGTCTTAGAAGCAGTTTGGTGTAACCGCGGGTCAATTCAGTGAAACAGTAAGCTGAATGAGGTCTGTGACACAGGAACAAAGTTATGGGATTAGTGTAACTTAAAGAGCACTGACTTTGGAATCCAATGGGTATGGGGTCAAGCCCTGACCACTGCTTTCTTTTTCTTTTTTTTTAATTACTTTAAGTTCTGGATTACATATGTGGAACAGACAGGCTTGTTATATAGGTATACATGTGCCACGGTGGGTTTGCTGCATTTATCACCCCATCATCTACATTAGGTATTTCTCTTAATGCTGTCCCTCCCCTGTACCCTCACCCCTGCCGATCTCTCCCCTAGCTCCCCACCCCCTGATAGGCTCCAGTGTGTGACGTTCTCTTCCCTCTGTCCTTGTGTTCTCATTGTTCAACACCCACTTATGAGTGAGAACATGTGGTGTTTGGACTACTGCTTTCTAGTTAAGTGACTGTCTCAGTCCATTTGTGTTGCTATAAAGGAAAATCTGAGGTGGGGTAATTGATAATACAAAGAGGTTTATTTGGCTTACGGTTCTGCAGGGCTGGTCAAGAAGCCAGGCATTGGCATCTACAACTTCTGAGGCCTCAGAAAGCGTCTGCTCATGGTGGCAGGTGAAGAGGAGCTGGAGTGTGAGTAGAGATCACATGGTGAGAGAGGAAGCAAGAGACAGGGGAGGGAGGTGTCATGCTCTTTTTAACAATCAGCTCTCTTGGGAACTAATGGAGTGAGAACTCACTCTCCACTCCCAAAAAGAGCTTTAATTTATTCATGAGGAATTTATCTCCATGACCCAAACACCTCCCACTAGGCCCCACCTTCAATATTGGGAATCAAATTTCAACATGAGATTTGGAGGGAGTCGAACTAACTAAAGTATGGTGGTGACTTTGGGTGAGTGTCTCAGAATCCCCAAACCTCAGTTTCCCCATTTCTATGCTAGGCATTACCAGTACAGGCCTCATTATAAAGTTGCTATGTAGATCAATGAGAGAATGGAGGGTAAATTCCTACAGTTTCCATCTATAGCAAACAATTTTTTTTTTTTTTTTGAGACTGAGTCTTGTTCTGTTGCCCAGGCTGGAGTGCAATGATGCAATCTCCACTCACTACAATCTCCACCTCCCAGGCTCAAGCAATTCTCCCACCTCAGCCTCCCAAGTAGCTGGATTACAGGCATCTGACACCACACCTAGCTAATTTTTGTATTTTTAATAGAGATGGGGTTTCACCATGTTGGCCAGGCTGGTCTCGAACTCCTGACCTCAAATAATCTGCCCACCTTGGCCTCCCAGAGTGCTAAGATTACAGGCATGAGCCACTGTGTGCCGCCAACATTGTTATTAGTCTATGGATGTTTCTCTTTGGCCTCTGCCATTTTGAAAGATTTGGCCAAGAGATTACCTGGCTAAACCCTTGGGGTGTTAACTGTCATTTTTAGTCATTGCAGGAGCCACTAGTCAAATTTCACTGCCCTGTTGCTGGAGAAATCATCATGAAAGCATTATCAGAGTATTACAGAATGGCCAGGGAATGTATGTAGAGAAGGTTAATTATTCATTTATCCTGCTGTTTCCCTTAAGATCACATTGTTCAGTGAGATTGAGATCAGAAAAAATGATTGCATTTATCAGTCAAGCACCTAGAAAGAATGAGACTGACACCGTCCTCCCTGGGGAGTAAATGGGGTTCTGGAGGGGAAGGGAAGGGAGTAAGGTTCTCAGAGGAGCATGTGTCCCGGAGCACTGGGGTTCTGGCTCTCCCTCTGCATTCCTTCCTATCCACAGGTTTTCACCTCTCCTTCAGCGCCAGCTATGATTAAAAAGCCATGTTGAGGAATCATCAGAAGGAGGGAAAAAAATTTACAAACTAATTTGCATTTTAATGAATTTTTAATTGAACCAAAATCTGTTGTTTCTGTTTAAAGATGCAGTGCTGACTTTGTGGTCTCTGCTGCTGAGGGCCAAGTGGGAACTTAATGTGATAAAAACAATGATAATGCTAAGCTTAATTAGGTTTGAAAACTTGTCTGAAAAGGCTGCAAGGAGCTTGGGAATGGTGAGCATTTGCTAGGAGCAGGCTAAGAAGTGGGATTGGATTGGTAGACGCTTTCTGCCTCACACCAAAACCACAGCCAGGCACTCATGAACGGTCAGGTGATTGGTGTCATGTCTGCAGTGCTTTTGAATTTCTAAGTACAGGTGTCAGGCAAGTCCAGCCAGTGGTTGGTGGACAATGCATTTCTACACTGGCTTTTTTTTTTTTTTAAATCACCAATAGCTCTTCCTTTTCTGTATGTCACCTAGCAGAGTCTTAGTTGAGGTCATTCATGGATATAAGACACACATATGGTGCTTAAGGTGATTGATGTGCTCTTTTGGAGAAGGCATTGGGAGACCACCATTGAAAACAACTCAGTGGTCTGAGATTTTACCCTTCTGTCCTATCTGGGACAGGGACAATGAACTTTATTGCTCACAGGGAAATCTGTAGCCAGTTTCCTGTTCATGCCGGTTCTCCATGACCTGAAGTCCCATGAGGATGGGAGGAAGTGATGTAGGTGTGCCTTGATGGGTACCTGCACAGGCAGTGGGCTGGATGACAGAGGACGGGCACTGAGCTTGGAGGATGTATCATTTTTATAGGGAGAAAAAGAAAGCCTGCTCTTTGTCTGGGAAGAGAGATGTCTCTGAGAAGCATCCCAAGTAAAGAACAGTCAGGGCCGTGCATCTTGGCCCAGCCCGTGAGAATGTGCAGGGATGCTCAGGGGCCATGGCTGGTCCCCCTCCTAGCAACTGTGGCCACACACAACTTTCAAAGTCAAGGACAATGTCTCAGCTGATTCGAATGCAGTGTGTGCAGCAGGAATGTTGGGAAGAGGTTTCTTTCTTTACTGGAAAGGAGTAAGCTATTTGTTGAAATTACTGCTCTATTAGTCCTCTATTTTGGAATATTTGTGTGTTGGTGGGGGGAGAATTCAGGAATTCAGGAACGTTAGCTGATACGTACCTCCTTCCCCTCTAAACGTTAACTCATGAGTACTTCCTTCTCCCATTTGTTCCTCCAGGCCTGTCTGCCTCCCAGTATCCACCTCCCAGTCTTCAGCCTCCTGCCCAGTAGCCCGAGATGAGCCCACAGTCGAGGTGATGACTGTGGTGGGGCCAGAGGGAAAAAAAACACTTTGCATGCTTCATTTTAAAGATTAAAAAGCCACTGCCCTGGAGTGTGGCTGAAACATTTTGGAAGATTGTTTGCCAAGCGGATATTTTTCTTCTGTAAACACACACTAGACAGAAATCCCATGGGCTGATGCCAGGAGAGAATACAGCTAGTGCTCGACTTACGACCACGGTCAGGACCGTGGACCTGTCGTAACACGATTTGGTCGTAAGTTGAGTAGGCTATATGTACAGTTGAAATGGTGCACGCTGAGATGGTAGTGCTGCCGGAAGCTGGTCCGCACTGTCGTATGCCCAGCTGGGCAATGTTTGTGCTGCAAGACGCAGGGCAGTCATGGCTAGCGATTGTGGTCATAAAGTCGAATGGTCGTAAGTTGCGTAGGTGGTAAGTCGATCAATACCTGTAGTCAGAGAGGAAG